CCTGAAAAGCAAACAACAGAAGACACTGCTCAATACACTCATTTCTTGGAGCATCACGAAAACTACACTTGTGGAATTTGGGCCATTTCCTGAGTGAGTCACAAGACAACAAACCTACAGTATGTTGACATTAAGTTGAGTATGCGTATCTGGGATTAACACTTGAGTACACACTGTTCATTTTATGTAGACAAACAGATCTACCATTATAGCCATCCAGTGTTCCCAGTACCACCTGTTGGCACACTCTGGCATACAACTCCTCCTGGGATACATCCTGCAGGACACCTTTCAGCCGGAATGACCAGGAGCTCTGCTGACTTTTCCTGGAGTCCTGGGGCTTCTTAGAGTCTTTTCTGTGATTGATGTTCACTGTCTGAAGGGCAAGACACAGAAAGAAGTTCTGAGTCTACACTACCAGGAATTATTTTCATGCATAAACACTAATGCATTCATTGAAATTAACTCCACAAACTACTGTACATAGTTACTAGGATGAAAATATTGTATCTGAAATGTGATGTAATTTGTATTCAGACAGCTGAAACGGGAAACACAACCTCCACCTTCATTAATGAGATATGCTAAATTAAATTAAGAGATAAGTAAAAACAGGTAATATGTCAATATTTGGGATAAGGTTATCCATTACAGACATGGATGTGATGCAGTTTGAACAGCTGCTGCTTGTGGCAGGGACTCTGACCCCTTGTGAAAGCTGTTACAGTCATCAAAAGGCTTCTGTATATTTTCCAGTTTGTTTTCAGTGTCACAAAAGTGAGTAAAAAAGAATGGCACTTTGTGAAACATTTTGAAAAGGTTTGGGGACATCAGTAACACTACAAACTAAAAACCCCACAGCTCCCGTAAGGTTAAATCTAAAGGTCAGAAATTTTAAACAGGTGTGCTTGACAAGATGCAGAAGGGCGAGAACATGTGTTCGGCACATAGGGCTGCAACCAAGGTTATCTTCATTATCAATTAATCTATCAATTATTTTCTTTATTCTATATTCAATTAATTGGTATATGAACAGTCAGACGATTGGGAGATTGCCCATAATAAAGTCCCAGAACCCAAGCTGGTGTCTTCAGATTGCTTGTTTTGCCATACCAGCAGGCAAAACCTAAAGATATTCAACTTGCTATTGAAGACTTAAAAACAGTTTATTCATATTTGAGATGCTGAAACCAGAGGCATTTCTGCATAAAAAAACAAATGATTAATGGATATTACATGTTTTTGCAGGTTTATTTTCTGCTCTTTGACAATTCAGAGTAGCTCCTTTTGTCAGCTCTGCTGTAGTGGTAAGCAACATTCAAACTCAGTATAACCTGAGACATTTTGTCACAGCACAGGTCTAAGTAACACCATTAATGATACCTCCACTCTGTTTAATTGTCCCAGTGAGCCATGTTAGTAAGCAATCATGCATAAAATCAGGGAACGAGATACCTTGTTAAATGTAGGACAGTCATTACTAATGTGATTAATTGCACCTGTGCCTTTTCTGCTGTGGCATGTCAAAATGTCTGCCATGAAAAAGGCTGATTAGGCAATGGTTTTAGTGGTTACATGTGTGCAAATTGGAAAAACATGACTACATAAGGTAGGTATGGACTGAATGTGTCCTGGGCTGAAACAGTTAGGCCTAGCTAAATAAAACCCAGCTAGTAGTCTACAAAAATCACTTTTCATTAAGATGGAACCAGTTTTAACTAGCGCGTTCTGACTTGCAAATTACCAAAACTATTCGTGCTTAGGGGGCAAAAAATACCATAAAGTTTAATTTTTAACCTCAACCAATGAAAACAAAACTGTTACTGTTTCTAAATTAAACATTAAGACCAACTAACTTAAAAGCTACACAAACCTATTCCCGGCTAGCTAACGCTGCGGATAGTTTACCATTGTGATTTAGCATTAATAATGGATTTTTAAACTAACGCTAGCTGGTTAAGTTACCTGTCCGTCTGGGAGACATTCAATGAGGTCTTGGCAGAAGTTTGCCGTTGGTCTGATCCGGACAAACACTTCCACCTCACTGTTGTGAGCCTTCATACCACTTCTGTCAAAAACACGACGACGACACAACAAACTAAAACCAACCTGCGTCACACTGTACACACGTATGCACTAAATCCACCTGTACTACCATAAAGAGGCGTTCAGGTGAGGATGGGTCATTTCAGCTCACTTTAACAGCTCCGGTCCATCTCCTCTGTTCACTAAGGTTTTCATTCAGCGTCATGGCAACGATCGCGCGCGCGCGCGCAGTGTGGCACAGTGGCAGAGCACGCGCTCGCACTGTGCCACCTGACTATGATTTTTTTTTTTTTCCCCCAGTCACACTCAAATTTAAATACACAATTTACAATATTAATAATTAAAATTACCCGTAAACACAGCACTTACTAATTCTATTTTATTACTGTCTTTTTTGTAAATTAATTAAATTAATTATTTTATTTTTGTTATACCCTTCCTATCTATGGAGGCTTGATAATTAAGTGGTTAATTATAAGTGTCACATTAATTTTTGCATTTGGCACAACTCCAAGGCGTTTTTATAGAGCAATCCTCTTTGTGAGACAACAGAGGTGAACCTTGAATTAACTGATGTATTGATGAAATTATACATTTGAGAATATAAAGTGCTCCAGGGAGGGTATTTTTCTGTAGTTCAACGCAGACGTTAGCATCGCCCTGGTCAAAATTCCAATGAGATTTTTTGATTGGATTTTGGATTATTTTATTATTTACACATTTTGTTTACCAAGATAATCTTCACAAATGTATTCCACTGTCTTGAACACTGAAGCCTAAATGAAATAAGTACAAAGCTAACATTAGGCTATAAACAAACCGCACTACAGTCGCATGACTTAATGTGACCCCCACAGCACAGTTGTAAAGCCGTGTTCGGTGTGATGACATCCTGTAGTCTCATTTAGCTACTTGTTAGCAACCACCTTTTTTAAGACACATAAGAGCTTCAGAATTCCCAAGTGAGGTATTTACTGACGGATTGTATGTTGTAGAACAAAACATGAAAGTCTCTTAAACTTGTGATAACCATAGACCTTATTTCAGGCGTCTACCCAAAAACCAACTCAAAAGATCTGTTGACTTCGAGACTAGGGAAAAAAAACTCATTTCTGGGGCAGTCTATCAGTATTGGCTTAAAGGAGCCATGTTTTAGATTTAGGAGGATTTAGTGGCATCTAGTGGTGAGGATTGCACATTGCAGCCAGTTCAAACTTAGCGCTAGAATTCCTTCAGTGTTCATTATTCAGGAGGTTTTTAACGGGAGCCAATGTATCCGCAGATGTCTCAGTGAAAACACTTAATACAGCAGTTTGATGTAAAAAATCATTGTTTCTGGGTTGCCAGGTAGCTCACCTGTTGGAGTGGGTGTCCCATGTACAAAGGCTATGTCATTGCTGCAGCGGCTGCAGGTGCGATTTCGACCTCTGGCCTTCGCTTTATGTCATCCCCTCTCACTTTGAGGCTATCCTATCCAATACAGGCATAAAAAGCCAAAAACAAAACAAAACAAAAACGTCTGAGTTAGCTCCACCCCTAACTCCTCCAAATATGGTCACTTCTGGCTCCAAAGAACCAAGATGGCGACAGCGGAACTGCCGAACTCGAGGCTTCAAAACAAGGGGTGATGTCACTATAAATGTATGCATTTGTACCCTCATGAGCATGACTGAGACAGACAAAACAAAGACACAACCATAAAAAGACAAACAAGCTCTATAGCACTCATATAGTCAAGCACTAAATATCACCCGCTAACTAAATAGTTTTAGAGTTAAAAACAAAGGGCTACTTTACTTTACATGAAGATACAGAACATTAGCATCAACTTGGATCCACCTAGTCTCGCTCACCAGACCTTTCTCAAGAAAAGAAAGGTCTGGCTGCGCCAACTCTCAATCTAAGATTGGAGAAAAAAATGCCTCAGCTTTTTTTATTTCTTTCAACCAATCACAATCGTTCTTGGCGGTGCCACAGCAACAGTGCGCTTGCAAAAATATTGCCGGGGGGAATCAGGTTTTGGTGTAACACGCCCACAAAAATATCGCCTACAGGACGCCAACCATGGCAGAAAAATGGCTACATACCCGCAAGATCAAACACCGCAAAAGTTAGTAAAGGACATTTGTCAACTATGACAACCGGAGGTGGTAGGGCGGGACTTCAGCGGGTGGCTCGTTCCGCCCAATGAGAGGCTGATCTATGTAGCGAACTTCCGCCCACTCAGACTAGGATCCACCAGCCTCTATGAGTAATATTTAATCTTACAGATGCTCACCCATCATGGACTAACTTACATGTAACATACATTACAGTTGGTTCCCACTAAAACTCCACCCCCTGACAAGGCCTCTATAAAGCACATGTATGTTCAGATAGGAGGCTAATCTATGTTCAAGATGAGGGGACTTACACTGCTCTGTCTGTTTGTATTAATTCTCACAGTTTCAACTGTAAAAAGGGTAAAACTGGTGAGTTTTCCAGATTTACTAATCTCAAAGATATGACTTTAATGTGAACAGCTCTGTAGTTCTTGTTTATTCTGTAATTCTTTGTAATTTAGTTCAGGTTTGCTAAATACAAATCTTCACTCACTCTGCAAATTGAAACAGGTTCATTTATTGATTCTGTAGCTGCTGTGTTTGAAATCCAGAGTCAATGCCCTTGCTATCCAAACAACGTAATGTCCTTGGATAAAGGTTTTTAATTCTAATTTCAGTGGCCAAAGGGAGGTAGAACACCGCTCAACAGTGACGACGAGTTTGAGACAACACCAAAAACCTCAACAGAAAGGGTGGGTAGACTTTTTGTGAGAAAGTCATTGCACTGGTATTTTTCATTAGATGAGAAGTCTAATTCAAAGTATGGAGCAAGTAAATTGCTCTTGGTAAACAAGTTGGACTTTGATATTAAGCAAGAATACACTTGTGCATACAAAAAATGTAACAAACTCCACCTACTGACATGGACAGTATAAAGCATGTGCATGTGCAGATAGGAGGCTAATCCACGTTCAAGATGAGAGGGCTCACACTGATCTGTTTGTTTGGACTAATTGTCATAGCAACGGCTCTGGTGAGACTGATGATTTTCTGATCTCAATCATTGAAAATTCTACAACTTAAATTTATTCCAGCAGCATCAACAAGACGTAGTGCAGCAGGATTGGATACAATACTGAAAAAGAAATAACTTTAATTAATTAAAAATACTAACAGCTGTGTAGGAGCTTTATAAAGTTAAATGAGCCATGTCTAACTCAACATTTTAAAATATTCTTCCTCTTTTTTTAAATTTTATATATTTTATTAATCACCCTCAGGGGAAATTCAATTTTTTCACTCTTTTTGTCATTAAAGCACAGGTCTGAAAGACACACAGATGCACAAACAGGACCTATACATGCACAAAGTCGAGAGATGTCAGAGCGAAGGAGCTAACAAATCAGAAAAGGCCTACAGCGTGTATAATACTGCTGATGTTTATTATTTAGTTGCTTTATTTGAAATCCAATGTCAACATCCTTTGCAAACAAATTGTCAAATGGATACTAAGCAAATACCATCATGTCCTTGGACTAAATCATTCTTTAATTTTCAGTGGCCAGAAGGGAGTCAATTTCCGATGGAGGGCGAGTTCAACACAACCAACACGACCAACACATCGACGGTGGGTAGACTTTGTGGAAAAACTTCATGCCATATGTCCTGTTAAATAAAGGCAAAAAGCCCCAAAAAAATAACTTTAAAAAGAGAAGTCAGAGTACACAGAGTGTTGAATGTTTGTGGTTATGGTGTCGCCTGCTTTGAACAGTTTGATTTGTTTAAATGGAATTTGACTTCCAATTCAAACAAAAGGTTAGGTGAGGGGTGTTGCAGTGCAGGAAAGATACCAAATCACAACAAATGTCTCTTTACCTCTGATGTCAGGGGACAAGATTAATGGTGCTTTTTTTTCAGCTTTCTCTCGAGGCATGAGATGATTTTATCTTGTGATATCTACGGGATCTTTCTTCTATAATATCTACCAGTTTCAAGTATTGAGTTAAACTTGGAGTTTGTGGTAGAGAAGTTTGCCACTGATAACTTGGTTTTGAATAAATTTGACTTTGTCCAACTGTGTCCTTTTACAACAAAATAAATAAATATCTAACCTGCTAAGCAAAGTTCTTCACTCTTTGCAATGATTTAAGTACATGATTTTTTTTGTTAGCAGGCCTCAGTTGCAAATGTAGACTAAAAATCTTCAGCTCTTATTCAAGAACTGTCGAATTGAAACCATTTCAAACTTTGTCATTTTAGAAAATAATGTATTCTGCTTTTATCTACATGACTTTACAGTGCTATGTGTGTGTGTGTGTGTGTGTGTGTGTGACCTACAGAGGTGTGACTAACCCAAAGGGAGCCTACATTAGCACCTCATTCTGTGTACTGCATATTAAAATTTTAGGACTAATATTCAGGCTTATATGAGTGTTCAATATAAACTGCAGAGCCAGTCTTTGGATTAAAATCTTATATTTTGTAAAGAAGCACTCTGTGAAATTCAGAGCGTATGACTTATCATATGAGTTGTCATATGACACACTTCTCAAAATAGAGGTGACTGAGCTTGCAGCTAGCAGGGTGTTAACTCTATAAACAACGCTAAACAGTAATAGTCTTGACAGAGCTAACGGTGTTAACCACGGATGACCAAGTACAGCATTATCTGTATTAGGAATGGGTGGAGTTTTAACCTGAGGTGGGTGTGGTTTGTAGCGGACCCAATCTGAAGTTATTTTAAACCTGAAATTGGTAAGGTTTGATTAGAAGTTGCTATATTTATTGTTTATTAGAAAACAATTGACCAGGCCCACATGGACACAATGCTGGAACGGCCTACCACAATAAACCTCAGACAAACTCACTATAACACACACAGAGGTAGCATGACTTCATTCTCTGCTCAGGATGCCATTATGCCACTATATCTTCACACAGAACATAGTGGTATACTTTTGTATTAATGCTCTTAAGGTTGCATACAAAACCTTTGAATACAGGACAGTCAAAGGACAAAAAAAGTCAGATTCATATGGACAGAGCAGGATTTTGGGTTCTTTCACAGTCCAAGTTTAATCCTGTAAAGGGCTTTCTGCAGACATGGAGGAACAACCAAACACCCACTGTTGTGTCACTGGATTAGGGTAAATGTGTGTTTTCTTATTAAAGTGTTATGCCTTTCTATTTCAGGTCCAACAGGAAAGACAAAACAATATAAGTGCAGTGGTACGTAGACTTTTACAGAGTAAACTAATGATTAAACATCTGAGACAAAGTGTTAAAATACAAGAATGTGAACTTCAGGTTATTTTAATGAATTAATTCATCATATATCATACTTACATCATCGTAATGTGTTGCTGATTATTTTCCCCGTCAGTGGGTTGGCACTCGGGAACCAATTGACAATGATGAAGGGTTCCCACCACTTCCTGATGGAGACAACACCCAGGTAAGAAAGTATCCAAGTATTTTGTTCTGAATTTCTCATTTGGTGTCACAAGTAAAATAGCATCTAATCTGAGAAATCCAATTACTAACCTCATTTATACTGTTCAGTATGAACATGCGCATGTGTTTCAAAAGAGGGTGGGGTAATTAACTACAATTTGTATTTAATTACCCCACAGTCTTTTGAAAAAAGCAGATTTCATTATTTGTCAAATAATGAAATCTGCTTTTTCGCTGACATGTTGTTTCTTATCTTTTCCGGGGAAAAACAAATCAGTGAAAGACAACACGCAGCGGAGGACTCAACTCAACAGATAAAGACACATTTAAAGTCCTAATGGAGCAGTACTGCCACCAGGATGAGAATCCACCAGGCACATCATCGTTCTGCTACTGCTTCTTTTAATTAAACATGTTATCAAAACTATTATGTGAAAATGTAATTTCATTTCCTAATTTGGTTATCTTAAGGTCAGTTAAACTTTCTGGGTCTATTAACAAAATTGACAACTACTCTGATAAAACAAGATAATAATTCATTATCACAAAAAAAACACATTGTGGACCACCAAATAAGCATTAATCTACAGCAAAAATATTCCCCAGCAAATACACTATTTACTATTACAACAGAGTTGAACAATTAATCAATTTATTAATGTAAAATTTATCTCCAAGATGATTCCCACATTTCATGGACAAAATATCAAAACCTTTCCATGACTTTTCAAGGAGGCTTGTTTCTAAATGAAAATAATTCTTTTAGGAAAGACCCCCCCCCAATTGATTAACAGTTTTGTCTGTGAAATGTTAAGAAATAGTGAAGTATCAGTGAGATATCCAGTATAAATTCACAGATCCCGAGGTGACATCTACAAATTCCATGTTTTGTCCACACATCAAGTCAAAGATAGTCAGTTTATTATCACATAATATAGAGTAAAGCGGCAAATTGTCACTTTTGAAAAGCTCACATTTGGAGAATATTTTGGATTTTTGATGGGGGGAAAAAGGAATAAAATGATTATCAGCAGGGTTCCCACAATCATGAAAAACCAGAAAAAAACTGAAAAATCACATTGTCCAGGCCTGGAATAGTCATGAAATTAACAAATGTGTGATGACGTTTTGTTTCCTATCACATACACTTCCTAATTTTTACCTTGCGTTCTGTCTCTCCTTCCATAGCTAGCTCGCTGAAATCATGTTCGAATAGAGTTTGAATCTGATATGTTAGAAAAATGCAGGGCAAGTAGGGCAAGATTTTTTTTTTAAATTAATTTAGAAACAAGCCTTAATTACACTTACACATCTTGTTATGAATTAATGTTAAATGTTTTTTTTTATTGAAAGTATAATGCCTTTTACTTCCAGCGGCCAAATGGGAGCACAATAACACTTAAAAAACAGGAAGCAGTTTTGTTTGAGTAAGCCTCACAAATATACCCTGTTGGACTTTGGTATTAAACTAGAACACTTTTATGCAATAGACCCTGCCTACTGTCATGGACACTATAAAGCAGTTGTATGAGCAGACAGGAGGCTAATTTGTGGTCAAGATGAGAGGACTGACACTGCTGTGTTTGGTGGGATTCATTCTCGCAGCCTCGGTAAGACAGTGTGATGGATTGGTGGATTTGACCAGCTTTACTGAAAAGGAAACAACTTTAATTGATTAAAAATATTTAACATTGCTTTTGCTATGTAGGTTTTATTCTGTAATGTATTACTCTGGCTGTAACCTGGTAAATAAAGTACTGCACTTTGCTTTTCATTTTGCAGTGACTTGAATTTTGGCAACTTTGTCTCACCTAGCGCTAAGAATAGTTTATATTAGTGTTTCAGATGTTATTTAATGTGCTGTATATTTAACAATGTACAACTATTGCTTAACTGACAGTGTTAAACATAGATTGCAGAACCTGACGTCCGATTTAAACTCAACAACTGTGACATAAATGAGGAATATGTATGTACATAACACACAAGAATCAGTGAATAAGCTGGTGCTTTGATCATACCACTGTCGCCTCTAAGAAACAGGTTTATTGATTATTTTCCTGCATTCGTCTGGACTCTTATGTCAATGACCCTGCAGAAACAGAACACCCAATGTGATGCCTTTGGTTTAGGGTTTGTAGACTATGTATATGTTTTTAATCCAAGTGCTATACATTCCAATTTCAGCTGTCTGAAGGAGGCACGATGCCACTTGCAAAAAAGGCAATAAAGGTATGTGAAAAAAGTGGCAGGAGGTAAGCCAAGTCCAAAAGATCACTGAGAGGATTTCTGTAATCAATAGAGGCTGACTGGTAGTAGTCACAGCACAAACTGAACGGCCAGGAAATTAAAATAGAATTATGATGATATAGTGTTACCTCCAAATAAATTAGAACTGTTGATAAGATACAGGCAGCTGGCACCACTGCAGCAGAACTAACACACATAGAAATGAATGGCTTCTTGGAAATGGGGGGAAATTACATCTAAAAATGTTGTCATACAGCATTCCCTAAAAGAGCCTTAGCTGGGGAAATCAAAACAGTAAGATCCCACCTGTTATCCAGCTGCTGTGCAAATATGTCTACTGTCTGCGTGGAAAGATGGTGGAGAAACCATCACTGAAATATATAAATTTCAAGAGGTGAAGGTGGGTCAAGGCAGTGCCCAAATCTGTGAAAATACTGGTTTCAAATGTTGGTTTTGCCTCAGGAAAGCATGTTATCATTCCTGACAGACAGAAGAGATTTGTGAGATCAACAAAAATACTTTCAAGGATTCACCCTCTGGGTAATGGGAAAATATAACCTTTTCATTTTTTGTTAAAGATTGCAAAGGGGATGTTGTGTGAGTAGCCTTAGTGCACAGATAATGTTAGCGGAGGCAACAAACGGGGCCCACTAGTGCAAAAGCAGACCTGTATCTTGTTATAGCGCTAAACTAACAACAATAATAGTATTAATACAATGGCCATAAACAGCTACATGACTAGCAAGTGCTCCTTTGGTTGCATGTGATTACCTGGTCAAACAGGTGACTTAATTCAGTCTATGGAGGCGCGGCTGTCACTTGCAGGGCTAACGTTAGCTTAGCTAGCATCAACATCAGCTCCAGAATAAATTACTGTTAAACGTAATTTCAGCACCTTTCTGTTTTTATCCACCGACTTGTTCAGAAAATAGGTGCTTTTGCCGTCTTTCTCAGTGTTTTTGTAGATGTCAGTGTCTCCAGTCAGTTCTTTTCACAGTAAAAGTGTAGCTAATTTCTAACAACTTGAGTTTAGCTAGCCCGCCATTACAAATCTGTTTTGTTAAACCGGAACGGGCTCATTGCGCATTGATAGCTGCAGCACCACCTGGTGGTCGGCGATAGTAACAGCAGATCAAAATAGGAGGAACAATCCCACTCAAATATAATGAAATAAAGTTTACTCAAAGCACTGTCTAATAAGACCTGTGTTTGTTTAGTTTATTATTTGCAATGTTTTGCCATTTAATCCTTTTTTAGCATTTAACACAGGAGAGCAGGGTTGCAAGGTAGCATAGGTGTAGATATAATTGGGGACACATCACCCCTTAGTATTTAGAGCATGCAGGGTGCCCTCACATTTTCCTTGACAAAAACTTTTCCATGATTTTTCAAGGACCTATAATATATATATATATATATATATATTTCCTTGCTCCACTTGCTCTGCATTTTCCAAACATCAGATCAGATTCAAACTCTATTCAAAGACAAAGAAGATATATTTTATTACATTAAATGTTTCACTTTGCTGTCAAATACACACAGGCCTGAAATACACACACATGCACAAACAGGACCTATAACATATGTTAAATGGAGGGATGTTGGGGGAGAGGGTGAGGGAGTGTCCATGGATAGGCGCCCTGAGCAGTTGGGGTGCTGGTGCCTTGCTTGAGGGCACCTCAGTGCTGCCCAGGAGGTTAACTGGCACCTTCCAGCCACCAGTCCACACTCCATATTTGGTCAAGACTGGGACTTGAGCCCGTGACCCTCCGGTTCTGAACCCAAGTCCCCACAGACTGAGCTACTGTGCCCCCAAACATAATTTCAGGTAGCTGCCATAGATGAAGAGAGAGCTGGAACACCAGGAGAAAACGGATAAATGTACGTGATGGTAAACAAAACGTTGCCACACATTTATGGATATTAGAGCTACATTGCATCAACAGCTATTCATTAGCTGTTATCTTATATTACGTGAAAGGTTGTCCATGGAAGACTACTGTTCAATTTCATTACACATGCAAAAAAATCCCATGACCTTTCCAAAACTTTCAATGAGTTTTACTAATTCCTTGACTTTTCAAGGCCTGCAAAATGTGAGGGTGAAATTCCATGACTTTTCCAGGTTTTCCACTACGATGGGAACCCCTAATATGTACATTTGTCCCCCCATCCAAAACATAAAATGAGATTTAAGAAGGGACGCCAGGGACACATCCCCTTAATATTAGAACATGTACATTTGTCCCCCACCCTAACAGAAACATGAAAGTGGCAGAGGACTGTGCTTTGCCAAAATTAAAGACATCTACGCCAAGGTCCCCCACCCAATGTTGCGACAAAACCTACACTGTGCAACTAAGCCAATATTGAAGTCTGATGAACTAATAGGAAAACACAAAATGTTATCATGTGGAATGAGATAAATGAGATAATTCATCAACAAATTTGCATCAGTTTTACTGTAAGTTCCTCAAGTGTTTTCTTCTTTTCCTTCAGACCACTCCACCTCCATTCAGTATCTGGAGCCCTCTTAAAAGTGGCGATGAGTTTCCGACTGAACCACACACAGGAAACGTGAACCAGGTAACAAACTTTTCAGCATTCACCACCATTAGTGTTTATTATGATTTTAGGATGTAAAACTGTCTGTCTTTTCAGGGGAAGCAAACATGAAGACAGAGGGGCCGAACAGATGGCGACATGTTTCAAATCAGAGACAGAGACGACCTCTTAAGTACTCTGCTGGTGTTACTGCCTCCTTCAAATAAACATTTCAAGTCTGTTGTGTGAGAAAAGTTTCTTTTATTAGTATGCTTGGAATTCATTTGAAATGTCTACTTTTTCCAAAAGGGGCTGGATCTTGATAATTTCACGATTTGTCAAAATGAGACACCAATTCAGCGACTATGAGAGGGACAGCAGGTTAACAAGTCTTGAGTTTACAACTGGACAACACTTTTTCTGGTAAAAGACACCACTTACAGTAAATCCCAATTTTCAACGTTTAAAGATTCACACAAGACTTCAGTAACAAGGAACACTTTATTTTTTTGTATTAGGCTCTTCTCTTTTCATCACAAATATTATCTATGTCCACCCAAAGTGTTCCAGCAGGGATCAACGCTCCCCGACATCTTTTATGGAAAGGACAGAAACATAGAACATAAATCCAGTTCTTCTTCTTTCTAAACATAACTATGCTTGTAGAAAAGAAAAAAAAAAAGAATTTAGCTGAGTGTACCACTTATTTTGTAAGTTGGTAGTACTCTGTTGGTTTGGTGATGGTTTGCTTTTACAGACGAGTAGTAACTAACTCTCTGGAAATAATGCACAAGCTTCCTGTTCTACGCAACTGCAATGAGGGCTGACAGTACATTTACTTATGCGGAAAAGCCTTGATTTTTTTTTTAAAAAAAGGTGTTAAAACTGGGGTTGAACGGTACCACTTCACAACAAATTATAAAAGCTGTGAACTCAGTATGGCCACACAACCTCAATAAATGTGTGTTAAAAGTGGTTTCCCATCATTTTTCTTGATACTGTAACATCTGTGAGCATCTGGTGTCAAATCACTGTAAAACATTTGTTACCGAAAGAATGATTTGAGATTAGAAACAAGCTTTAATTTCTTTTGCTGATGTCTAAAACAGACCAAAATAAGAGAGGGGCAGCAAAATCAAACAGTGGATATGAAAAACAGTTAGTAGCTGTAATCATCAGGCAAACTACAACAGCACTACATTCTTGAACAGAAGGATTTTTTTCATTTGTATGTTTTTTTGTTGTTTTTTTTTGTCACAAGTGGTGAGATCCAGAGGCAGGCAGCAGCCTGTGAGACAACAAGCAGAGTTCTCTTCAGATGACAAAGCAGTTTCTCTTTCTATCAGTAAGGCCACTTTATATAGAAATTCTAAATGAGGACCACAACCTATCGCTTCTTGTCCATAGATCTTTGCAGAGTGTCATCACCGTGATGAAAGGAAAAAAAAAAAGCTTCAAGTTTCTAAATTAAAGAGCCTGATGGCCGGCTTGTATGTGGGGAGGGGCTGATGTTTGCCTCGTTCACCACCACAGCAGGGAGGAAAAAAAAAAAAAAAAAAAAAAAGCTCAGTCCACGTTGTCACCACCAGCTTTGCTGCTGAGGTAGTATCCCCACGCCTGAAGCCCCCACCGCAACTCAAAAACACCACAAAATATCGTGTGCGATTGGGTTATAACGATCTTGCAAAAAAATAGATATTTTCACAGAAGTTTGTAAAATCATCTTGCCTAAAGTTATCCTCTGTGGCTTTATTGAAGCAAGTTGAAGTCCAGAGAAAGGTTGCGCCACACAACTGCTGCTCTGAGTACAATCCACACAGGACAAATCTGTCATCTGCTGTTGCTGCTGCAGTGTTGTACGTTTGGGTGTATTTTGCCAATTCCTTTTCAATTATTCCCTCTTTCAACAGCCCCTTCAGATGCAGTCCTTCAGTTTTGCCAACCAGTGTATGTTAAGTGCTGCCATTTATTTAAAGGGAGTGTCATTGTATGTGCTGCGGTTGTATTGCTGTGCATGAATATGATGCTGTGTGTGTGTGTGAGTAACCAGTGTGGTGATGTTGGCAGGTGGGCTCTGTAGGGACTGCAGTCAACACAGCTGGAGTTCAGCTTCCTTCGAGGGGCTGGGCAGGACCGAGCTGAAGGGGCCAGGGGATGGAGGGAAATGGCTCTACTTATCCCCCAGGATGGCATATTGGTTGTCGAGTTGCAAGTGCTGCATAGAGGCGCCACCGCTCTCCTCTCTACCACGGTTCCTGTGTTTCACAACTTCAAAGGTCTTCTCCATTTCCCTGTCCCTGAAACAGACATGTAACATTTAAATCAAACTGCAGCAAGACATTAACCTGTCACTTAAACCAGGGTTTTTCCTGCATAGACAAGTACGAGGCGGCGTCTCCAGCTCTTAGCGGGGGTCTTTATGGTAAACTCTATTTCCCAACAAACTTGCTCTTGGTGAATTTCTATCATTTGTTACTGCAATTGCAGCATCACACCAATGTGGTGGCACTGTATGGTAATCAGCACAGTGCACCGGGAAAGGCGCAGCCAAAGAGGAAGAAAAGAGCTGCCTGTTTTTGGCTGAACTGCAGCAAAGCAGGCATCAGCCCGATACACAAGAAAGAAAGCCGATGAGGTCCTTATTATTCTCTCTTTCCCTGCAGCACAATTTTTTTAATATAGTTTTATATCACCAGCTGGCATTTAACAATGCCATTGCAAATGATAGTTGGCGTTTGTGAATGCAGCTCTATGCAGATTCAAAATTCCTGGACTCATAAGCAAAACATTGTTGAAACAAAAAACATGCCTGCTTCCAACTGTAGTAGAGCAGACAATAAGCTCCAACCTTATTTTCATCAAAATGAGTCGTCCTCCGAGCTGGGCAAATAACGTTGCTCTCTATGTGCAGCCTGTTGTGAGACAAGTATGTAGGGGCCGTCTAACGGCAACACTGAAAAGAAATGCTATAAAAATATTTGCTCATAGTCAATGTAGTGTCCCCAAAAATCCCTTCACACATCAATGGTCTCCGTTAAGTTACACTACAACACTTAATTTGGTAAAAATGTGCTTTTGCATAATTTTGGGGAATTCTTGTTGTAAAAAATATTCAGTAACTTCACTCTTATACAGTGTAATGTCACGAAAATCACTTCACACACACATATGATTACTATGACTCAGAGAACATACTGCTTGTAAAACAGTGTTTGCTGAAGCCACGGTACACGTGATCAGGATGGTACCACCTCCGCCTCATTTTGAGCCAGGAAAAACCCTGTTAAACAAACTATTGCTATCGGACTCTACCTACTTGCGTGTCTCCGTATGCTTGGCGGTGGACAGTAGGGAGGGAAACTGTGCGTCACTGAAGATCTCAGGAGGCCCCTGGGTGGGAGCTCTTCTGGCATTGGACAGCCGAGCCCCTGGGGGGCGATATACACCAGCAGGCTTCGACTCAGGCTCCTCTACCTCCTCTGTAATTATAAAAATCACACCCGTTTGAAGAAAAAATAATGTGGGGTTCCTAAAGGCATAAACAAGTTAAATGTAAGACTCTTAAAATGAAATTTAAGAGCAAACTTGCTAAAGAAATACACAACAAAAGTGAAAATATGGTAAATTCATTGATGTCAGTTCAAAATGACCAGTAAGGTAAAATGACACAGATGATACTCACTGTGCTTACTGCTCTCAGCACAGAAAAATAAACAAGGTCTTAGTTTAACAATGCAGACTGATGGCCTGATCCATGTGCGACAACACCTGATATTCTAGCAGTGACATGACTAAAAATATTTAAAGGTCCAGTGAGTCAGGTTTAGTGACATCTAGTGGTGAGGTTGGAGAGCTGAAACTTCTCTTGTGTGTCCAGCGTGCAGGAGAACGACGGTGGCTGATGCAAAAATGTGAATGGCCCCAAATAGAGCCAGTGTTTGGTTTGTCCGTTCTGGGCTACTGTAGAACAACATGGCAGGCTCCATAGAAGAGTAATCTCTCCGTATGTAGATATAAATAGCTCATTCTATCTAAGGTAACAAAAACAACAATTCTTATTGTACGATGATTTTAAACTAAGGAAAACTAGTTATGAATATTATATTACATTTCTGCCATATATCCCCCTGAAGCCTACATACTGGACCTTTAAGACCCATCCAATCTGAATTTATGAGCATGTAAGGCCTTTTATCAGTAAATATGTACTTAAGATACTTTTTAAGGACCTTAATAAACAGCGTTATGCCCATTCCCTGACTGTCAATTCCTGACACTTTAAAACAAATGAAAGTTTGAGTGGGTTTACTCACGCACGGGTGCAGCAGCAGGAGCTGGGGCGGCACCAGACTTGTTCCAGGGACCAGACATTTTGTCTCCGCTGACCAGAATGATCTCTCCATCCTCACCAACCTCCTCCTTCTCATACTCCTCTTCCTCTTTCTCGTCACTACAGACAGACAGTAGGCAGTTGAGCTGTGGTGAACCCATGGTGAGTTATCCAAGATTTTTTTGTTTCTCCAGTTGAGTTTGACAGAGATCTGCTTGTAAAACAGGTTAATCTATTTATCAATTTAAAATACATATCATTTGTAATATGCACTAAAACTCACGACACAACCTATCAGATAAAGTAAGGATGGTTAAAATGACACTGGCACTGACAAATGGTTCATTTTATGCCTAAAAAGTAATTCATTTTGACAGTTTATTTTCAGTAAGGCTGCATTAATAAGTATTGTGAGGGTATTACACCACAACAATCAATCCAAATAGTAAGGTAGCGTTTCAAATCATAGTTTCATAATAAAATAAAAAAAAATAAATATACTTGATTAAGAAAGAAAATTTAATGAAAGGTTCTTCTGATGTAGTATTCAAAGGGAAATAATCTGCATGAAATTCATCCAAATCACATGTTTTACTCAAACACATAAGCTGCAATTATGGTGTTCGCTTTTGGTTTAACAGTGCAGTTCATCAGTTTTTCTGTACTGTTATTGTTATGCATTGAATATAAATACAGGGAGGGATGCACATGTTCTAAATACTGAGGGGGATGTGTCAAAATACATAGTTTTAAGTGCTGTTACAGACACTCTCCAGGACCTCTGCCATCACTATGGATCTGAGGATACTGATGGTAACTTTGTCTCTGGAGACCTGAAAAAAATAAAACTGATCTAGGGCTGCAACGATTAGTCGACTAATTGATGACTAATCGACTATTAAAATAATCGGTGACTATT